GTGAAGTTAAATGTGACTTAGTGTTCTCGTCTCCAGACACCAGCATGGATCTCGTCCTGAACGTCGCAGACTATTACGTCCTCACCCCGCACGTCTACCCGGCCTCCTGGCCAGAGGATGAGGCGATCCGGCAGATCCTCAGCCTCATGATCGTCACCAACCTGGGCGGCGTCGTCATCTACCTTCTGTTCGGAACCCTCAGCTACTTTTTTATATTCGACCATTCGCTGATGAAACATCCGCAGTTCCTGAAGGTGAGGGAGGGCGGGCGGCCTCTGCAGATACCCTGACCGGGCACAGGGGTGACCTCCATACTGATGTTCAGGGGGGGGGTCCATCATGTGACTTCTGCGGGTCTTTGGTTGGGACCAGTGCGGTCGGTTGTTGTGGGCGACGTTACTTCTTTTACACATAGAGCACTTTGATGTAGAATTCAGGCAGAAGTCAGTCCAAGGAGCCAGCTAGTGCTCCTAGGAAGCCTGGAGAGATGCCCGTAGCTAGGAGGGCAAACCAACGCGCCGGTCAGGAGAAGGTGCCAAACTGGCAAGTCTCTTCTTCATTATCTATATACCATGGACGTCCATCTGCACGTAATGAGCCAGGACAATCAGAGTCCAGGAATTGTATCCTTCCCTGCGGATCAATGTAAACACTTATCCCCTGTGCTCCTCAGCTCCATCCAGTGGCCACAATGCAGTATTACATCACAATACATTCAACCTAAAATATTAAAAACGTTCATTTTTGTCATTACCCGCACAGGACGGGCGTTCTCAGATATTCGCAGGGTGGAGGGCCCGGCAGATGGTTTATAAATGACCCCTGAGTGTTGCTGCATATGGCTCTTGCTGTTCTCTTATCTGTGTTATTGTCATTTGTAGAACCAAGCCCGCCGAGAGATCTTCTTCTCCTTGAAGTCCATGCCTTGGATGAGCGCCCCCACGGTCGCCCTGTTTTTTGCTGAAGTTCGGGGCTACAGCCGGCTCTATGACAACATCGACAGTTCCCCTTCTGGTAAATACCGCTGTGTGCCTTCATTTTCTTATATCTAGAAGTAGGGATGCACCGATACTAGTATCAGTGCCGATACCGAGTATTTGGGCGACTACTCGTACTCGCCCAAATGCTCCGATACCTTCCCCGATACTGGAACCTCCAGACAGAGGGAGATTTCCTCTGACCGGCAGTGCCGCGAGGGAACATGCAGCCACCTTCCCATGCGATCAGGAAGCTGGGCGGCGAGTAATGGCCCAGCTCCCGGCTTCCTATTTGGCCAGGAAGCCGGCGGCATGATGATTGGCAGAGAAGCCGGCAATCAGCATCGAGCCGGGCCGAACAGCCGGCTTGATGCTGATTACTGAAAGTACTCATACTCCATACCAAAAAAACGGTATTGGTTCATCCGTATGTAGAAGGTCTTTAGCCGCAAAAAGTTCCGGAGCTGCACATATCTCTGTGTCCATCTGTACGGAATAGGCATCAATTGTGAGATCTTGTCTCCTCACCGCTTCTAGGAAAGCATAATACTCCCAGCGAGTGCGAGCGCGTATGCAACAGTTATTATTATTAATATTACACAGGATTTATATGGCGCCAACAGTTTGTGCAGCGCTGTACAAAATAAAGGGAGACAATACAGTTTACCACAGGGGGGTCATGAGAGCTTACAATCTAAAAGACACAAATGAATGCGTGTCATTCTCTCAGCACCTCACAGCGTCTATTCATACACCGCAATAGTCACATTGTATATTCCTCGATCACTCAGCTCCGTGTTCAGAAGCATTCTTATATTTACACTATTTATTAGCATTACCGGGTAGCCCCAAATCCCATAGATCACCCCACTTCCTTCTGTATAAGTCTCTGCACTTTCCAGTCAGCTATGTGAAGAGTTTCACTTGCAGATCTTTACATGTTACAGTGACACTGAACTCCGGAGTTATAGCCTAAAAATACATTCCAGTCCCTGAACTCTGAGCAACAATGTATCTTATTTGTGTATCACTCGGCTGTAGATCCTCCAATCATCTCTGACACTGTCCTTCCTTCTGGAGGGGGGCTACGTCTGTTCCCCATGGTCCCTGTGTGTGTTGTAGTCACCGCTCCAAGCTCAATCCCGGGATGAACTACAATCTCAGGTTTAGTTTGCTGATTTGTATTGAGATTGTAGTCCATCCCTGGAGCGAGCTTGGAGCGGTGACTACTGTATAACACACACAGGGACCATGGGGAACAGACGTAGCCCCCCTCCAGAAGGAAGGTCAGTGTCAGAGATGATTGTAGGATCCACAGCCGAGTGATACACAAATAAGATACATTGTTGTTCAGAGTTCAGGGAGTGGAATGTATTTATAAGGTTTATCTCCGCAGTTCAGTGTCACTTTAATCTTTGCTCCCATGTAAGGTTTGAAGCATCTGATTTCATACTGAGGCTGTCTATTGGAGTGTCCACAAGGCTTCACTATATTACCTTTAAGGCGGAATATTTGAACCATTGGAGTCCCTTCATCATCCAGAGGGGGGAGGAGGGTACCCAGTCCCGGTTGCTTCAGCTCAGTTTACGTATCCCTCTGGAAACTCGCGCCTCCTTCCACTTGTGCTCAGTAAAGTTGGTCCCGTGCACGCCATGTACCAGTTTGCTTATGTTGAAGCAGTGAGATCTATGAGGATTTGGGAGTACGTGGGAATGGTTTGCAGTATGTTTAAAGTATTGTAAATAAAAGAATGTTTTATATCTTTTTGATCACGTGGCTGGCAGTCAGTGGAGAATATACAATGTTACCCTTGTTGTGTATGAACACATGCTGAGCGGTGGTCAGAGTATAAGGTGTATCCAGGAACCAGGCAAGACAAAACAGAAGCAGATTCTTTGTCAGCTTTAAATTCATAGATGATGATAAGTAGTCACCAATAAGTGACAGGTTCTCTTTAATAGCACTGTTTGCAGTAATTATGGGACAGCGGAGGATAAAGTGTCCTGTGATTTTCTTCCAGGCTGGTTTGGAGTGATCTTGAGCATGTTCTCCTTCCTGTTCTTCACTGATATGGCCATCTATTGGATCCACCGATTCCTGCACCACAAGCTCATCTATAAGGTACAGTACCCGGGGAAGGGTGGGGGGGTAAGAGATGGCAATGTTGGTGAGATAGGTGTACCGTGCCTGCAGTCCCACACAACCTACAAGGACAGGGAATCATTATTTTGTTTGACCTTGAAGGGCTATTCCACTTTCCCAGATGAATTGGGGAAAATGGATTAGTAAATACCCCAAAAACCTGCCACCTC